CTTAGACTTAGTATTTTATTCAAATATGAAAGGTTTAATAAATACATTTTCAGTTTAATTCAGATAGACAGTTTTTTTTACTAAAAATGTAGTAAAAAAATCGTAACCTTCGTCAGTAATAGTTCGTATTTGTTAAGTTTTGGATGAATTTTAATTGGAACTTGAGACAACTATTGACTTCAACCTTCACCATCTAATAATGGTGCATTAAATATTATTTCTCTGCCCACTGTGCAGTCAAGCACGCAATCCGATAGCAAACGAGTAAAGCGAAAAAAATGTATAAATTAATAAAAGTGCTTTGGCTTCATTAGGCGATTAGCGCGACTCAGAGCAATGATGATCCTGTTGGCAGGACCCGGTTTCGAGATTCCGATTTCGGTCGCTCTTTCACCCCCACCTTCTGCTTTTGCTTTTGCTCTGCTTTTTCCCTGCTTTGCTGCTTTTGCTTTGCTTTTTCCCTGCTTTGCTGCTTTTGCTCACTTCATGTGCGTCTGCGCAGCAAGTCAAGTGCGAATCATGTCAATCAGGACCAGTTCGGGATGGAAACTAGGGCGAAGGACGAAGGACGACGGACCGTTAAAAAATGTGTCGCCCGGCCACGCCCCCTCCCCTTTTCCCCGATGTACATTTTTTTTTTGACAAACTGACAGGCAAATGTCAGCGATTTACAAAACGTTTAAGCTTCCCGCTTTTTGTCCACTTCACTGCTCATGAAACAACAAACACACGGGCCAGTTTCCCGAATTTCCCTCCACTCGACTCAAAAACTCGCTCATATTTGTTTTTCATAAGCCAGCCGAGCAACAGCCACTGGAAAAAATGTAAATTTTCACCCAAATAGAAGAGGGACGATGGCACGCGTGTAATCGCCCGGAAGCGTTTCGTTTGCATTCCCATTTTTTACTTTTATTGTTTTGTCGCCCGTACAAGTCACCCCCTTTTTGCGGAGCGTGCAACGAGCGACGAGCTACGGGCAACTTGCAATGTGCCACCAGCAACACTGCAACATTGCAACATCGCAGATGCATTGTAATCGCTTTTTTTTTTTTTTTGCTGTACTATTCCTTACATGGGGTGGCTTCCTTCGGCCCAAAAAAGCTTCACAGTTGCATCATTAGTAGCCGGCAAATTTGCATGACTTGTGTGCCGTTTGACCTGCGGCAACAGACGGGGCACGTGGCACGGGGCACACAACAATATGTGGCATATGGCACTGTACATGGCATACGGCCAACTGTCACTCCGATCCGCCGGAACTGCGCCGTCATCCGCCGATCGCTCATTCCGCATTCTGCCCACTCATCATTACACGGTCAAAAAATTGTAGAGTTGTGAACTTGATGTACGATGATCCTGTCCCCGAGCTGAATGTGGAACCACTTCGGTTGACTCCTGATTTTTCAGCACCTTTCATTAATAATATTCAAATGCATTCAAATTGTAGTTCATAAATTCTTTGGACATGAAAAGGCAATATACAATTTATTTTCAGGGCACAAGATATAATTTGCAGACCTTCCAAGATTCAAGTTTATTAAGTAGAGTTTTGGTCTGGTTAAAAAGCGGGTTTGGTGACCCCTTTTCATACATATTAACCTCTTACAGAAATGTAAACCATATAACCTAATTAAACCCAATATCAAGGTGGTTAAGTACAAAAGTGTGGGCTGTACTTCTTCTATAATCCGATTTAAGTTTGCAGTTTCTAAATTTATTTGCAGGCCCACTTATGTAGAATTTCTCTACGTGCAGTGCACTTTTGACTTTCACACTTTGCGAATTGCCCACTTCAGCCGATCCGATGCGATTCCGATCGCTAAGCTAATTAACAGACTTGCAAAATTCATTTCACTGCCGTTGCGATCCGTTTTTTTTTTTAATTCGCCAGCGGCAACAAAATGTTGCAACCCTTTCGCTTCATTTTATATTTTTTTTTTGTTGTGTTTCATTTTTTCCTTTTTCGTCGCCGCTGTACGGATTGCAGTGGAAAATTTGTTTATCATTAACAGATTGCAGCAGCTCGCGATGGAAAATGAATTATAATTATGCGGCAACCACCCTTGCCGGGATTTAAATATTAAATATATGCCACACGCGGCGAGCGGGGATTTAAATTTGGATGCCCATTGTTTGCATAATATTTGGCAATTATTGGAACACACTCACTGACAGTTTGGGTTTCCTAGGGCAGTGGAGTATCCTGCCAGGATACGGATGGTACCGGGACTTCTAAGCCGGCTTACCAGCTTTTTAGCGGGGGTTCTGATTTTTGTTTCCTTCCGTGTGGTTTTCTCTCTTTTGGGGAGAGTCCTTGCAGCTTGCCGTCGCAAAAGAAAGTCCCTTGCCCCGAGGCCAGTGCGAAAATTCGGTGGCATAGTGACTCCGAGCCGAGGCAGGGGCGTTAGGGGGTTAAGGGCGCTGAAGAAAAAGGTTCCTTTAAGTCCTTCCATTTCGCCCGCGGCGCTGGCAGCGTCTTGTTTGTCAATCAACAGCAAAACGAGTACGAAAATCCGCGAATGCATCGGCATCTGGCGAAATCGGTTCCTGCCCCCGAGAGCCTGAATTCTGAATTCTGAATCCTGAATTCGGAGTTCCGAACTCTGAATCCTTTTCAGCCAGCCGCAGCACTTCCTTTTTTCTGCGGCCAGCTGTTGATTAACTAACTGCATAATGAAGGAGTGCAAAAAAATGGAAGGAAGGAGAAGCTGGAACCGACAGAAATCGGGTTTTATTATTGTACTTATGTTTACTTAACTGAGATGGAGTAGGTTGGAAGATGTACCATCCCATCATGAGTATTGAAAAATGTAGGAAACTAGAGGAATTAGTAAGATAGTAATGGATAAAGATATCCAAACCTTACTTATTACTTGCAATAACTTTTCTAATTATTTCTGGAAAAAGAGAAAAGCCTCATCTAAAAACTTCTGAAGCTTGTAATATCTTATGTAGACTGCTTATCGACCTGTAGTAATTTCTTTGACAACTTAGCTGAACATCTTTCCCGAATATTAACCCCATTCTGCCCTGTCAGCTGTGACCAGTGTTTCCACGCATTCTTACAGAATACAGAAGCCCCCATAACTGCTGCCCATCCATCCAATCCACACTCGGTTTAAGTTGCCTGCCCCTTTTCAGTGAGCATTTGTTTTTTATCACTTTTACAAGCAATTAATTAAATTTTTATCGATTAACCAAGTGACACGCCACTCGAAGGAAGTTGGAAACGAAGGCGAAGACGGAAACGGGCCAAGAAATGTAAATTCTGTTGGCCCATGAGCCAAGTTCGGGAAAAAAGGGTTCGAATGGGGAATAAAGGGGTGTGACCGAAGACGACGACATTAGGAAATTGGTCTAACGATGCGGGTGAGCACAGCTGGCCAAGTCGAGCGGAGCAAGTGCACCCAGCAGGGGATACCCAGAAACAGCCAGCCCAATTCGAACAATAAAAATAATTCAATTATCTATCGCATCGCAGGCTAAATGGTCTACAAATTAGGGACAAGCCCACAGAAATGTGCGATGCGATGACAGGTTGCAGGATCTGGGGATTAAGCGGGTTCCTTCCGCAACAGTCGGGTTCCGATAGGAAAAGGTATAGGGATAGGTGTAGGTGTAGGTGTAGGTAAAGGTAGAGGTAAAGATATACCTTTAACCCATACCGCACTCAAATCGAATTACAGTGCCAAAAGAGCGTGCGAGGGCGTCAAAGTGTTAACAAGTGTCATGTGCCCAAGGATCAGAGATGGCCAAATCTGGAACTCAGAATTTAGCTAGATTTTGTTTTCAATATCAAGTGCATGAGCTAGAAAATATAGATCCTTTTTAAGCTATAATTATTTCTTGTGAATTTACTTTAATTAGTATACATCACCACAGGGGTTACTGTCTTTTCTGAAAGCTTATTTAAAGTTCATTTTTTTTTCGGTACTAATATCATTTTAATATGTGTTAAACGACTTTTGGTTGGATTACTTTAAGCTCTAAAGTTGGCAGACAAAAGCAGAAAACGGGGGATGATTTTATAACAAAAATCCTTTGCTTAAAAAAAAGTTTTTAAATGGATTTAAGCTGTGATACTTTTGTGTTCGTAAAAAAGGTGAACTAATATTGCGTTACCACCATAAAATAGCCACTTGAGCAGCACAGATGAGCCCGAAGTCCTGGCTCAATTCCAGCCTCTATCGCATCCTCTGCTTTCCGCCCATATTCATGGAAACAAGAGAGTTGGCCAGCTGTTGGCTGTATTTGTATCTGTATCCTGACTCCGACTCCTCCTTTTTCCCTTGATCCTAGATCCTGGGGCGTGCCATTGTACCTGTCAGGCACTCAGGCATTCTCAATTCCCAACCTGTATCGCCGTTGTTTGTTTTGGTCGCCTGAAAAAGCAAAGCAAATTGCTTGGTCAAGCAACTGTGTAAATATATGTTGTACGCAGGTCAAAATGCAACCGGCACGAGCTTGGACATTACGTGGATGACGAAGGTGACCGCAGATGTTTCATTTCCTCGTGAATATGACGTTAATTCCAGGCATTTTAATGAAAACTAGAATATTTCTTCGTCTTACAAAAACAGTGTGGGAATATTTTTCATGATACAAACATCAATAAATCGTTGCAAAATACAGCAGCTAAGCATTTATAGCTTTTAATAAAAATGTCTGAAGGTTTCTTTAAATATAATAAACAACTACACAGTTATAAAGAATTTAGAAGGCAACTGATATAGGTATCATTTATATATATTACAATTTAAACCGCATTCAAATATCTATGGCGTTTAAATTCACATAGCTTATAAAATATTTGTATTCATTAAAAATACAAAATAAAAAGGAATCACTTTAGAAAGCGATCCTAAGCTATCTCCCTTAAAAGGAAAGCTGAAATAAAAAGCCCCTCATCCATTCTCGTATTTTGAAAAATATAAAAATCTTCACAACATAACTTTTGATTTTACTGCATTTATTTTGAAAAAAATAGTTGTATAGTTAATTAAAATTAGTAATAAATATTGTTTTTAAAATTAAATAATGGAAAAAAAAGTTGGGTATACAAAAACTACATAACAGCAGCGTCAAAAAAAGGTGTTATAAATAATTGGATTAGATGGTGATGAACTTAGGCTAGGAAACTATGTACAGTAATTGTTTAAGGTTTAGTTTTTGACTTAGGAACTAGTTAAGCGTCATAGTTAAGCGTTTTCCCCCCGTTTGTCAGCGTTGCTCGCTCTCTCTCTCTCTCTCTCTCTCTCTCTCTTTCGTATCTTCGTTTTGTGTGCTCCTTGCCAAAGGACATCTTCTCAGACATAAATGGATGAGGGCAGGGCCAATCCCACCTCGAAGTAGTTGCGCTCGTCGACCTTATAGCGCTTCAAAGGCGACTCCTTGGCCACGATCTCCTTGCGGCTTCTCTTCAGCGCCTTCACCGGGGTCTCCAGGCAGAAGGTGTTGTCGCCGGGGGCTGCTCCACCAGATGGGACCACCGGAGTGGCCAGTTGGATGAGCAAGTTGTGTGGTATCTTGGCCAGTGGCGAGGCCGGCTCGGGAGTGGCCATCATATGCTGCATGGGCAGTGGGACCAGGCCGAAGCTCAGATCCGCGGCGGGATCATCTCCGGGTGCGTAGGATGGGGAGAGCACCTCCTGGGGACAGTTCGACTCCAGCTGCTGCTTCACCAGGGTGCGCCTGCGCAGATTGAAGGTGGACCGGCGCGCCTTCTTCTTGCTGCCGACATCCGCCTTGCAGGCGGAGTCCAGAATGGCATCGATGAGCCGGTCCAGTGTTTGGTCACCCATCTGCGTCGACGCGGGCTGCGGCGTGCTGGGTCGCACTGTCAACTTGGCGGGCTGCTCCAGTGCCACCTCCGGCTCCATCTCCACTTCCGGCTCCAAGGTGGCCACAAAGTCGTCGTCCAGCTTGCGCTGCCGCAGCTGGGTGACTCCGGCGGTGATGTAGCGTGGCTGGCCCAGGAAGGGATCCAGCGGGGCCATGCCCCTCAGCGCCAAGTGCTGGCCACTGGGCAGCAGGCCGTTGGGCGAGTAGTCCTCGGCGAAGCGGGGCAAGGTGGTGGCGTACCGCACACTCTGCACCCGCTGGGGCACTTGGCTCCTGACCGCCGCCTCCGGGGTGACGTTGCGGATGTCACTGAGTGGAGCCAGGACCAGCGGACTGTTCAGCAGCCGGGCAATGGGCACTGGCGTGGAGGTGTAGCCCACTGTGTCGGGCACGTTCTCCTTGTTGGCAATGGTGGCCCTCCGCTGGCGTCGCTGCCTCCGCTGGAGACGTCTCCTCTGGGTTTCGTTTGGGTCCTGCTGGACCTGCACTGGAATCTCGTTCAGGCGCTGCGCCGATGCCGTCCACTTGAGCATTTTGTATGGTTTATTTCGTTCGTTGGTGCACAAAAAAAAAGATAGATCTAGATCTCTAGACTCTGCTAGTCCACTGCTCTCGACCGCTCTCGCTGACAAACTGAAGCGGTACGGGGAGCGGGCTGCGTTTTATACCCGCTGGCCGCCCAGGGGTTAATGGCTAGGGGTTACGGGGCTAGGGGTTGTTGCGCAAGAGGCACCCCGACGGGCAGAAGGACACTCGCTCTCTCCGGCTCGCTCTCTCTCCCTCTCTCTCTCTTTCTCACTCCTGGTAAGGAGCTCATTCTCTTCAGTCGGGAGATGTCTGTGGCTACAAAGTATCCTCAGATCTCAGCAACAAGCTGAAGAGTTCCATAAACTAAATCTAGGCAAAAAGCTATTATCAAAATGCATACTAACTTGGGAGCATATTAGTAGAATATTTAATAAGTATTAAAATTGCATTTTAGTCCTTTTAAAAACCTTAATATACCATTGAGGCATATTAACTTAACTCAATAAAAATCTTTACTTTTTTAATTAAATTATATGGTTATTCAATGCCTTAAATTCATTTGAATATAGTTTAGGATTACGCTACCTTAAAAGCCTTAATTTCCAATCATCATCAAAAATGGCACCTCCAATTAAGTTTAGTTAGTGGCAATATAATAGTTAGATTTGAACTAAAAATATATTTACCATGAATGGTGTTATGAAGATATCAGACTAAATTAAAAAACTCTATAAAATCAAATATATATTTGATAAGATAACTTTTTTCCATCAACGTATAAAAGTAATATTTTATTGTTCGATACTAAAACGATTTCATACTGTTCCTGGGACATTGTACTGTGCTCAGTCTGATCCTTTCCCACAGTTCGCAGTTCCGAGTCCGCCCCAGGAATCCCCTGCCTTGATCCACTCCACTCCACTCATCCACAGCAACACCACACGAAAATGACATCTAGATGTCTATCGGCCAGCGCTTGGTTATTAAATTTGCTTTCATTCCCCTCAAGGAAGTCCGCTTCCTTTTTTCCCTTCTCTCCCTTTTCTCCCCCTCATTTGAATGGACATTTAGAACAGCAACAGGCTGGAAAAGGGAAAAACAAGAGGAACCGAGCACAGGTTGGCCGGCCAGGCTAATTAGCTCATGCCAAGTCCAACTTCCTGGCCGACAGCTCCTCGTCATTTTGGCCACTTGTCGCAGCCTGGTATCAGTATTAATTGCGGCTCTTTAGCGGCCGCAAATGCAATTTATATACGCGGCGGTTTTTAATTGAAAATGCTTGCCACTTCCGGAAGGAAGCATTAGAAAAACGTTACAAACTCTGGGAAAAGTCCTGCGCAAAGCGTCAGTTGTTCACCCAGCAGGGGAAACTTTTTTATAAACTATGTTCATTATCAAATTATCAAGTTTTTAATAGGTTTCTTACAAAAGCATATGGGGATTGATAAACCCAAATATATGAAATACATTTTTGTATAATATAAATTCCAAATTTTACTCGAGTAACTGAAAAGTGAAGTACTATGTAGCTCATAATAAGGAATATTACTAACTTTTGCATAGAGAGGTTTTAAGTTAATAGAAAGGTTCTCAGTGATCTAGATTTCAAAACAAAGCCGCAGCCCAAGAATACGAAATGTGGAACCAATAAGCAGCTATCTTTTTGATGACAAGATCAATAATAACTGCCCACATATGTGGTCCTTGACCAGCTGTAGATGAAGTGATCATCCAGATTCCTGAGTGATCTTCAAGTGATCATCGACCAGCGGGCCTAAGTGATGTTCAAGTGATCGGAGATCGTCTTTTTCTGGCTTGGTGGCTATCTGGCGATCTGATCTCGTTTCGGATATGTTACTTTCCTTCAATGGGGTCCTCCTTTTCCTTCCACTAATCTCTTCATTTGCGATCTTTTGATCGCTGAAAGATTTCCGCTAACGGGGATCGAATATTTCGCACGTTATCCTTTCGTTTTTTTTTTGCGGTGAAAGTTGTTTGGTTTTGTAGGTTTTCTTTGTGACTATCTTCCGATCGGCTTTTGTCCCCGATCGGGATACAGAAAGGGTGCAGGGGTTAGTTAATTGATTGCCTCGTTCCATCCACCGAAATGGCGAATTTCTCAACTTTTCAACTCTTTTTCCTGCGTTTACTTTGCGAAATTCCCTCATTTTGCTTACTTTTTACCTCTTTTCCTTTCGATTTGCCCTCGTTATGTCCCTGAATCCTTCGGCTCCTTTTTGTGGCATTGAGTTATCGCTGTTTACATAGCCGTACAAAAGGATTAAATGGGTTTTTGAGAGAGTTTTCAGCGCAAAGAAAGGATATCGGCATGTTGATTAATATGATTTAACGAGCATCCTGCTAAACAAGGCGTATCCCGATTTGTCTTCGCTTGTAATTTCCCGACAAAATTACCATAATCCTCGCATTTTCTGCGGTTTACAAGGGACAAAGAGGAGAAAAACACAAAAATAAAAAAAACAAATGGATAAAGAACTACACAAAAACTACTCAAATTCAATTTGAGTTTTCAGCATTTCGTGTGCGACGATTTTACGCTTAATTAACGAGCCCAAGGACCCTGGCTCAAGGACTGCCCGAAGTCACGATCCAGTCCCGATCGCCGTATGCAAATTGCCCATGCATTTTTTACCGCTCTCCCGTCCCTTTCCCCCCGCCTGCTGCCCTCTCGCTCGCTCGCACGCGTGTTTAGGGGAGAGCGCGTCGCCAAGAGCCACTTGACTTTCACTCTCGCTCTTTCAGGATCCCGAGGTCCTGCGATCCCGAGATCCTGAACCGAAGAACCGAAGGGATTTGCATGCCATGCTCAATGACCTGTGGCTAAAGACTCACCACTTTGGCGCATAAACTTTGCCAATCCCGCCAGAGATGCGAATGTACCCTTTTACTAGCTGGATTTTAAAGGGTTATGGAATTTTGTTAAAGAAAAAATTGTAATATGATTGCCTCACATAAAAGCTTTTTTTATATTTACAGTTAAAACGGGTTTTTAGAAGATTTTAAGGACTTATTATTATTATAAATTATTTTAAAAGGGTAAAGGATTACTTATTAACTCTATTTAGCGGGTTTTAGATATTGTTAAGCAAACTATAAAATCGAAATGAATATAAAAGTTTCATATAGTTTCCTTGGCAATGAACCTAATATAATGCATATTTTTATAAAAACGCGTGGGATTGTGATAGGTTTATATGGTGGATGAATAGATTTGTATAAAAATTAATGTTTGACTGTTATATATGGCAGATATATATAAAAGTAGCTACTTTAACCCGTTGCAATGTAGAACTGCCAATTGGCCAATTGATCCTCTCCGATTGCATCGATCCCTATTTCCCTCCCTTTCGAGCGCCTTTGCATATATGCTCGCATGCAGATCGGGCACTTTTATAGGATTTTACAGATAGGGCTGCTTTATTGTTGCTGCCTGTGATTAATGCGCCCGTGTTCGCATTGTTTGCGAAATTTATCGATATTTGATTTGCTGCGCGCCGCCGCCTAGAATGTGATTCAAACATGCTCAAAGTGTATCAAATGTTTGTCGCGCGGCTTTGTTTGCGTTTTGCATAATGGAGGGAAAGTGTTTGCGAAAGGGGGAAATTCAAATCGGAATAGGGAAAGTGCCAGTTCGCGACTTCATTAACGCATTGCCAAATAAAAGGTTGTGGGGATTTCGTTTTTTACGACTCCAAGCGAAAAGTGAAACCATTAAATCATAAATGAGCTGAAATGATTAATTGATTTCATAACTTTTTTACGCTGGCATTTTTGGTTAAGAGCAGGGGAATGAATCTGAAAATGACTGGCAGAATATAAAGGATAAATGGCCAAATGGCAATTGCAATTGCAATTGCAATTGCAATAGCAATAGCAATAGCAATAACGGGCCCCTGGCAAATATCATGTTTATGCTCATAACTTTCCAACTCAAAAGTCGACCAACTGTCAACTGTCAAATACGAGACAATTTCGCAAACGAATCCTGGCCATTTGGGGTGGGGGGTGCTCTCCATAAGGAGGACGACTCAGACTCGAATTGTGACCCTGAAAAAATAAAGGAGAGGCGGCGCAAACTGGAACACACGAAGGGACACCCAAAGGATGCGTCTGAGGCAGACGTCGCAAGACAATGGATGCCGTAATGAAGAGCAGATACAGATACAGATGCAGATACAGCTACAGATACCAACACAGATACAGATACAGGCACGGACACAGTGAAGATCCTGATACACAGATACAGATACAGATACAGATACGCAACGGGAGATGTCTGCAGCATCCAACAAGCAAAAAGTAAATTGCAACAAAGGGACGCTCAAGGAAAGGATGCGAAGTGGGCAAAAAAAAGTCGGGAATCAAAGGGACGGGGCTGAAATTATTGCAAATAATTTAGAGCACATATTGCAGGGATCCGAAGAAAAAAAAGGATCCGGCGGCCGATCCCTTTTCGGTTTGTTCGTTTGTCATTTGCCCACAGCAAAATTCAGCGAGGACTCGCAGGAGCAAACCCAAGAAGTAGATCTCCCAGCCCCTCGAACATAAATTTGCAACAATTAAAAACAAAGTTAATTAAAATTTATGTGCGACAGATTCTGCTGCACACTCAAGAAAAAGAAAGTGCGGATCGGGCCCATCCTTTTTCCTAATTGCTGGGTGTGTCCTGCGAAATGGGGAGGCATTCTACGCTTCAACAGCCCACTTAAAAATGAGAGACGGGATGTCCCAAAAAGGACTAAGAAAAGAAAGTGCGAGTGTCGCAAATAAAGATCTTTGGCCATACATTAAAAAATGGGTGGATCAGAATGCGCAGGCGATGACCATCGACGACCACCGATGACCAGTGGTTGACCTTTAAGAAAAGAAAGAGATTTAATGGGGTACTGGTCAAATATATGGTCAAATTTATGGACAATAATTTTTCTGTCGCACTGTTTCTTGAAATAGCAGAATTGAGACTTGCTACTATTTAAAGAGTGTCTTGAAAATATATTCCAAATCATCTAAATAAAATAAATATGATTCATAGCTAATTTTCATTGAAGAAAACAGCGCCCAACTCTTTT